TCAAGGTGTTTCTGATTACATCTGTTTTTATCTTTTACCGTGTACACCTTTTCTCACATCACGGAACGTGAAAAGGTAGATGCATTACATTACTATAATTATTACTATAAGACAACCGAGATTCGTTTGATAAAAAGGACATTCTACCAGGCTGAAATTATGGCTGGACTTATTCGTCACGTACTCTAGAAGTTACGTTTGGAATTTTTTTTGCCAATAATTTTTAATAAAATTGTATTATATGTTATCTAGATTGAGGGAAATTCCCACTTTTTGGCTGGTTATGTTGGTGTCCGCCTCATGTGATCTGACTGCGACACACTTTTAGCATATTGGTTGCAATGATTAGTGTTTCAGATGGAATGTATCAAAATGTCGGTGTAATGAGGGAGATAGGATAGTTAGAGGGTAATGCCATTTACACCACTCATTTACTCCATGTAGAAGCTGCATCTTTCGGCATAGTATCATTCAATGAAGACTTCATGTCTCAGGATATCAGTACAGCCTATTTTCGTGTGAAGAACAGTCTTTTTTGACAAAATAATTCTCTCAATACTTGGAAATCACCTGCAAATGTTATCAGAATCGTTGGTGGGAACCTAAGTTGTCATTTAGATGTGCTTTTCACTCTATCTGTGGTTGGACAGGAATTATGGTAAGTTGAAAGGTTATCTCTAAATGGATTTCATATATATTGGCACTGGTTGGTGCAGTGTGCTATGGGTTATGTTAATTAAATGTACAAAAATATCTCAACTATAATAATATTGTGCCATTGTGTACTAAGCTGACTGATAGGATAACAAACGAAGGTGGTTGTCACGATTATTGCAAGTACAGTGCAGTGGAGAAGGCAATTACTCGTTTAAGTTTCCTTGTTGTTCCAATTAATGCACTAAATCATTACACGGTATGATTATACGCATGAGTCGTGGTGATTACTAGAACTGAATCTATTCAGCTTTATTATCATCAATATGAATTTATTCTCCTTTACAATTTCCACTGACTGTATACTTAATGCTACAATATTTTTGATCACCAATAGTGGAGATGAATTTCTCCTGAGATTTCCATTTAGACAAAGCAGTACAGATGCTCTATGACGATTGAATTTTCTAGTTTGCATTATATGACATTATTATCCTCATCAACACAACAGGTCTGTGTACTTTAGAATAGTTTAAGTGTTTCACTATGTTGTTAGCACTGTGCATAGCTGTCTAGAGTTGAGGCATGTTCAGCTTATATTTGATGCCTATAGTCTCCTAAATATGAAAATGTGATTTCTGTAGGATTCACAAAACCTTGTGGACTAGACATTACTGAGATTGTGGATTAACTTCTAAGTTATACACTTGCAATACTTCATTTCATGTAAAAGTGTTTAGTGTGAAGTTGATCTGCAAGTAAGCTTGATGAGAGAATGACGCCTCAATAGTATGAATGTTTCGGAGATTGCCTTGAAATTTGCATATAGTCCTCAAATGCAGGAAAACATATGATGTATATTTATGTATACGGCGTCAACATAAATATCAGCTGTAGACTACAAATACATTTATCTCCTTGAGATAATACTTAGTTTTAACAGAATGATTGTATTCATATTGTATGCTAATATGTAGAATTATCTCTTGTTAACTTCATGTTATGCTAGTTCTAACATGTACTTTATTTTTTCCAGGTATACGGAGGTTGTCGAATATGAAATCAGCGGAAACATCATTCGGTCAAACTAACTTTATTACCCTTCATCAGAATTTTCTTTTGTAAATTAATCAAGTGTTTAATATACTCTTGATTACTTCTTCCTGTAGACTTCTTCAATTCCTCGCTATACTCTGTGCTTTTGTAATAAGTGAATTAGGAATAATAAACGCTAAGCTTAGTTAGTGGGATGGAGATTTACTGTAGTATTATGAGAATGTTACTTTAGTCATTAGTAGGATTTCGTGTCTGTTTCTACACAATAGCACATTGTAAAAGCTAAGTGGGATTTAGCAAGTTGAATAATAATTCTGTACTGTTTGATACTCTAAAGTCGCCTTATCTAGCCAGTTGAAAGTCTGTATACTGTTAAACGCCAAGTATGTAGTACAAGTAAATGAGTAAACTTAGGCTTGATATCTACTTCACTAATCTGTTAATATGCAGTGACATCATCAAATAGACTGTTCACTTGACGATCAGCTAAGAAACAATTTTTATTTATTTTAATATGCCGTTGAATCATAGGATGTTATCTAGTATCCATCATTTCTGTGATCAAAAACTGCGGTATTTGCATGTCTACTTTATAGATGTTAAATAACCTACGCCTGTATGCATCTAATTACCTCCAGTATTCCCTATTCATTTGGTGTGTGTAAACTAAACAAGTCTTTCATAAATTCTCCCATAAATGCCAAACTTTCTAGTGTTACAAGCGTTATTAAGACCTGCTTCCTTTGTTTCAAATCAAATGAGGTATATACGAACTAAGGGAAAGTTACTCTTACTTAATCTTTAACCCTCACTCAGAGCCTTTAACGATCCCAAACAGTTCTCCTATAAACACAGTAGACGTACTTTAGATGCAGCTGCAGTCTTGCTCCACAACATTTTCTCCAGTATAGACAATGGGGCTAAATTCGCTGCACCTTCCTAGAGTACACATCTGCTTTCGACTCACTACCTAGAGATATTCTGTTAGATAAGCTTGCTGAAACTCAAACTGAGTATTGGATTGTTAGATGGCTTCATTCTTATTTATCAGGGAGAAAGCAGTACACTGTAGGTCAGGGGGAAGTCGTCCATTACCAATTGTATTTTTGTTTGATGAACTTATTGTACGAATGCATACGAGAAGAACTTTTTCAAACACGCGGACGATCTAACTACTTCAATGTCTGTTAACTGCCAGCTACACTGTACTAAGATGAACAGCTCTCTATTAGGAGTGGGAAAATGCTCTTAAACTAAATCCTTCGAAATGTCAGACTGTTATTTTCAGTTTCCGATGTAAACGAAAGTTAGTTGAAGGTGTTAATTCCTATGACCGTTGCAAAATTGATAATAGTGATATGGAAATGAAGTCTGACTTTAAGTATCTCGGACTGATTCATCGCAGCGTGTTGGCCCTAAATGTATGCCACATGCAGGCATAATGTTTATGAGCTAGGTATGCAAATCACGGTAGACGCTTGTACGGTACATTCATTATTTATAAAACTAACTCGCACGTAAGAACTATGGTTTGATCAGTTATACAACGTTTAATACATTTAGACACAATTAACCTACGATGCTTACTTCTATGACGCATTACCTAAAACTACATTAATATAGTTTCCGCTGAAGGTTATCTCCTATAGTTACCACCTTAGTGGGCAACTTAGCGTTATCTTTGAATAACGAAAATTCCGAGAACTTTCTTGGTAAAAAGATCGTCCCTTACTCGAAAAAATTAAATATACCCTAGTCTCCAAAAAAACGTTCAGAGGTATTCATCCTATCACCGCAAACGACTCACTATTTGCAGCCATTTAAAAAGTAAAAATAAATTTACCGATGGCAGCGTGCTTATGATTTCTAGATATCATAATGTACCATGAGGAAAACGCTATCTCCATGCGGTTATAAGTCAGATGTGCGAAATTAGTCAGAAACACAACAACCACGATTCTCAGTCACATAACATCTTACTTCGCTACCTAATCGTATAGTCGTATTAACGGATGTTTCGCCGAAGAAAAGAAGACTACTGGTTCAAGGATAATTTATTTAGTTTTTTTTAGGATCGTGAACATATGTGTCTATAGTCACGGAAGAATCACAACTTCGAGGAAACCACCAATCGTAGACTACAACCCGAAACGTTATTCTTCCTAATTAATGTCTTACCTCTAACTGGGATTGTTTGTACACTCACCAGATCACCGTATTTTATCCGCTTTGAAAACCGTTTTGCAACCCATCGAATGGATGTTAACACTGGCTCTATTACGGGTAGTCCTAGTTCATTTATTGCGATCTAGTACATCAAGCAATAATAAGCATAAGTAACACTTACCCTCAGGGATTCCAGGTTCTTTCAGTTCCCCCAAAATATACACAAGCACAACAGATTCATACTTTTCATGCGGCTCAACCTTATTTGGCTTAGATTCTCTCACAATATATTTTTTTAAATGATAGCAGACACACGGATGGTATATTCACATTCTCAAAAAGCTTCAAAGCATTTTCAACTTCAACCCAGGTTCTAAATTCTCTGGGTTTAATTTGTACTTCGAAAACCTTGCTAATACCAACTCTGATGGTGCTCTCTTCAACAGATTCACTCGCAGATTGTTGTATGCTGCAAACATGAACGAAAAAGACACTCTTTTTCCAGATTTCTACATGTTATGCAAGTAACTGAACCAACAATAGTAACGGCAACCAACTAATGGACTGGAAACAACTGCTTCTGACAGCCAAACATCTTCATGTGCACAATTTCAAAACCCTCTACACAGTACTAATTCACTAACAGCTGAAAACCAACTAAAACACTGAAAGCCGCATGAATGCAAGGTATGAAAACACTTACACCGAAATGAATGCACTGGCCTGGTAGTGAAAACTTTCGAAACCAAAGAAATAATTCATTTTAACAGCAACGGAAACAAAAAATGAGGTGAAACGCAACATTTGTGAACGATACGCAACAAGATAAGTCGTGTATAACGGCAGGATAAACGGAACAACAAACGCGTCAACGAACAGCTACGGAACCGCGATCCAACATGGCCGACTAAAATGGACGAAAATGACCTTCGAGCGTCTCACTCCACCAATGACCTTGATAAGTTACGGATAATTTCAGCCGAAATTATCCGTAACTTATCAAGGTCATTGGTGGAGAGAGACACTCGAAGGTCATTTTCATCCATGTTAGTCGGCCATGTTTGATTGCAGTTCCATAGCTGTTCGGGCAGCCTGTAGACGGCCGTAGGTCATTTGATCAGCTGATGAATATTGGCGTTATTTTTGGAAATGACGTCAAGGTTAGGTCATTTTTCGTTGTTTTACACACTTTTTTACACATATCCCAGTTAAAAGTTGATGAAATACGGCGTATTTAGCAGAAATAGGCAATGGTGGTGTCCTTATCCGGCCGTAGCTTACAGGCAGTTTGCAGTTTTTTGGAAAAACGTACTTTTCCGTTCAAAATACGTCGAATTACTTCAAGAAACATGTTATAATGATTTTTTCGTGAATTTTCTTTGCATTTTAATGGATTACACATGGTACTAGATCCAAATACATGAACTAGGACTGCCTGTAATAGAGCCAGTGTTAACATCCATTCGATGTGTTGCAAAGCGGATAAAATACAATGATCTGGTAAGCGTACGAACTATCCCAGGTAAAGGTAAGACATTAATTAAGAAGAATAACGTTTCGGGTTGTAATTAACGATCGGTGGTTTCCTCAAAGTTGTGATTTCTCCGTGACTGTAAACACGGATGTCCATGATTTTTAAAAAAGCTCTAAATAAATTTTCCTTGAACCAGTAGTCTTCTTTTCTTTGGCAAAACATCCGTTGATACGATTATACGATTAGGTAGCGAAGTAGGATGTTCTGTGACTGAGAATCGTGGTTGTTGTGTCTCGGACTAATTTTGCGCATCTGAGTGTTATAACCGCGTGGATATAGCGTTTTCCTCATGGTACATTATGATATCTAGAAATCATAAGCAAGCTGCCATCGGTAAATTTATTTTTACTTTTTAAATGACTGCAAATAATGAATCGTTTGAGGTGATAGGGTGGATACCTCTGAACTTTTTTGTGGAGACTAGGGTATATTTAATTTTTTGGAGTAGGAGACGATCTTTTCACCACGAAAGTTCTCAGAATTTCCTCTTTTGCTTCGTTATTCAAAGATAACGTTAAGTTGCACACTAAGGTAGTAGCTATAGTAGATTACCTTCAGCGGAAGCCACTCGAGGGTAACTACGTAGCTCTAGGTAATGCGTCATAGAAGTAAGCATCGTAAGTTAGTTGTGTCTAAATGTATTAAACGTTGTATAACTGACCAAACCGTAGTTCTTACATACGAGTTAGTTTTGTAAATAATGAATGTACCGTACAAGCGTTTACCTTGATTTGCATACCTAGCTCTTAAACATTACGCCTACATGTGGCATGCATTTAGGGCTAATACGCTGTGATGAATTAGTCCGAGATACTTAAAGTCAGACTTGATTTCTATATCCCTATCAGCAATTTCGCAACTGTCATAGGAATTTACACCTTCACGTAACTTTCTTTTACAACGGAAACTGGAAATAACAGTCTGACATTTCGAAGGATTTAGTTTAAAAGCATTTTCTGACTCCTAATAGAGAGCTATTCGTCTTAGTGCAGTACAGTACATTTAACAATACAACACTCAGTTTGAGTTTCAGCAAGCTTATTTAACAGAATATCTCTAGTTACTGGGTCGAAAGCAGATGTGTTATCTAGGAGGGTGCAGCGAATTTAGCCCCATTGTCTATACTGGAGAAAATATAGTGATGCAAGACTGCAGCTGCATTTAAAGTACTTCTACTGTGTTTATAGAAAAAATGTTTCGGATCCATAAAGTAGATACGCAAATACCGCAGTTGTTGATCATAGGAATGATGGATATTAGATAACATCCTATGATTCAACGGCATATTAGAAATAAATAAAAACGGTTTCTTAGCTCATTGTCAAGTGAACAGTCTATTTGATGATGTCACTGCATATTAACAGATTAGTGAAGCAGCTATCAAGCCTAAGTTACTACATTTACTTGTACCACATACTTGGCGTTTAACAGTATACAGACTTGCAACTGGCTAGATAAGGAGACTTTAGCACATTGAACAGTACAGAATTATTATTCAACTTGCTAAATCCCACTTAGCTTTTACGATATACTATTGTGTAGAAACAGACACCAAATCCTATTAATGACTAAAGTAACAGTCTCGTAATACTACAGTAAATCTCCATCCCACTAACTAAGCCTAGCGTTTATTATTCCTAATTCACTTGTTACAAAAGCACATAGTATAGCAAGGAATTGAAAAAGTCCAGAGGAATTACAAATCAAGAGTATATTAAACATTTGATTAATTTACAAAAGAAAATTCTGATGAAGGGTATTAACGTTAGTTTGACCGAATGATGTTTCCGCTGATTTCATATTCGACAACCTCCGTATACCTGAAAAAATAAAGTACATGTAAGATTTAGCATAACATGAAGTTACAAGAGATAATTCTACATATTAGCATATACCATGAATACAATGATTCTGTCAATACTAAGTAATATCTCATGCAGATAAATGTATTTGTAGTCTACAGCTGATTTTTATGTTGACGCCGTATACATAAATAGACATCATATGTTTTCCTGTATTTGAGGATTATACGCAAATTTCAAGACAATCTCCGAAACATCCATACTATTGAGACGTCATTCTCTCATCAAGCTTACTTGCAGATCAACTTCACACTAAACACTTTTACATGAAATGAAGTATTGCAAATGTATAACTTAGAAATTAATCCACAATCTCAGTAATGTCTAGTCCACAAGGTTTTGTGAATCCTACAGAAATCACATTTTCACATTTAGGAGACTATAGGCATCAAATATAAGCTGAACATGCCTCAACTCTAAACAGCTATGCACAGTGTTAACGACATAGAGAAACACTTAAACTATTGTAAAGTACACAGACCTGTTGTGTTGATGAGGATAATAATGTCATATAATGCAAACTAGAAAATTCAATAGTCACAACGCATCTGTACTGCTTTGTCTAAATGGAAATCTCAGGAGAAATTCGTCTCCACTATTGGTGATCAAAAATATTGCAGCATTAAGTATACAGTCAGTGGAAATTGTAAAACAGACCATAGATTCATAATAATGATAATAAAGCTTAATCGATTCAGTTCTCATAATCACCGCGACTCATGCGTATAGTCATACCGTGTAGTGATTTAGTGCATTAATTGGAACAGCAAGGAAACTTAAACGAGTAATTGCCTTCTCCACTGCACTGTACTTGCAATAATCGGGACAACCATCTTCGTTTGTTATTTTGTCAGTCAGCTAAGTAGACAATGGCGCAATATTATTAAAGTTGAGATATTTTTGTACATTTAATTCACATAACCCATAGTACACTGCACCAATCAGTGCCAATATATATGAAATCCACCTAGAGATAACCTTTCAACTTACCATAATTCCTGTCCAACCACAGATAGAGTGAAAAGCACATCTAAATGATAACTTAGGTTCCCACAGACTATTCTGATAGCATTTGCAGTTGATTTCCAAGTACTGAGAGAATTATTTTGTCAAAAAAGACTGTTCTTCACACGAAAATAGGCTGTATTGATATCCTGTGACATGAAGTCTTAATTGGATGATACTATGCCGAAAGGTGCAGCTTATACATGGAGTAAACGATTTGTTTAAATGGAATTACCCTCTAACAATCCTATCTTCCTCATTACACCTATATTTTGATACAGTCCGCCTGAAACACTTATCATTGAGAGGTTACACGATGAACGCAGTTTTAGCCAATCTCACTCTCAAGTTTGAAGCACAGTGTTTCCAATGAGAATATTTACTGTTATTAATCTGAACAAAGTCGTGACAAAGGCCGTACGTACATATATATGCTAATCTGAACAGATCTCATTTTAGGTTTGTCGTGCCCTCTTGATCAATGGGTTAGACACCGAAATGCGAATGATAACGTTCTATACCACTACATTTCTTTATCAATTCTACTACTCTTAATTAACAATTCCTCCGAATCAGTGCGATCAACTCTCGAAACTGCTCTCATTCGAGGATGATGAGCCTTCTTAACCAGGGAAGTGACACTTGAACTCATGCAGAAGGACACTACACATTAGAATGACTGTGAAAATCTGAGTAAGAGTAATCTATAGGCTGCAATGAGATGGCTGTCAACCAGGACAGTTATCAGTTTGGGTGGACTGTGAGACTGGAATTCAAACATCCGGTTTAATCTCTGGTTGGTTATTTATAGACAAATAAAGGAAATGTTGATTGGTCAAGTATGACTAGACACTTATTACCTAAGCTCTCACGATCCTTCAAACTGAGAAGGCCAGGTAGGTTACCGGTCGTATTCGACACTTCTGTGACATACGACACCTAACCATGAATTATCATATTGCACAGTAGGACCAATGCTGTGGTGTCAATAATTGACCGATTGATGAAGTTATCAAGGTATGAAATAGCAGATTCAGTAGAAACTAAGAAAAGAAGTCATGAAAATGGTGCATCATGATGCACCATTTAACATGAATGTTAAATATCTTTGACAAACAGATTCCTCAGAGGATGTGGTGGATGACGGTGAGTCTATTCGAAGATGTACTTGACCTCTTTTGTGTTTGTCTACATTTACCTGCAGAAAACCGTTGGTTTTCAAACATTCCAAGTGACATTTTTACTAGTGAAGTATATGGATATATCCATATGAATGACTATCCAGTGTTCTTTGACGGAACTTATGTGGCACAAATGCTGGGGCTTAGCAAGAGTGATGAGTTGATTTGATTGAAGGTGTCATCTGTTGATATTAGCACACATATCTTCACGTTAACCTGTGTTCTGATCTCAATGAAGTGTAGCCGTTGACTGTTTGTCAGTGAATGAAGCGATGCACACCATATATAGAAACGCATTCACTTCACTTCCTCATGATAAATGCGGCACTGTCGGATCATTTTCCACGTTCAGATGGAAATACTTTATTTTGTCTGCTATCCATGGTGCTGATTTAAATGTCAAATTGCGTCATTGATGCTATCGAAATTTCTAAACACTATACTGCATTTAGTAGATGGGTTCTTTTGGAAATAATCTCAATCATCAATTATGAATGGGGGATCGAGTATTGAACAGGATCTCATTGACAACCATGCATGTGCTATGAAGATGGTCACTTTATGCGAAACAAAGTTCTGTAGGAAATTGTGATGAGGAATGCAGAATATTCAACTGGTAGGATTAAACCATTAGTTTGACAACCATAGGTGCATGTGAGAGATTATGCTATTTCTCGAAAATTGTGCGTCTCATGGCTGCTGGAACAAAAGATAGACATGTACCGGTAGAGGTATCACAAGTTCCTTTCATTGTGCCCAAAAAGATTTTTGGTGAGTTCTAAGGATGTCATTTTATAAGACAATCTTCTCTAGTTCAGTATCATCTGTTCGCAATGTTGCGAGATGTTTGCAATCGATATCACGACATACAGTGTTGTTGATGTTCATACGTGACAAAGTGTCTGTGACTTCATTGCTGTCACCCCTAAATCATGTCGAGTATCTGAGGTGAATTGGGATATAAGTTAAAGATGTCGTAGTCCACGAAGCGTGTAATTATCCTGTTTGGCTGACAAGACTTTCGTCAGAGCTTTATGATCTGTGAAGGCAGCGAAAGCTGCGCCTTCCAGCACATAGCATAAAATACAGCTAGTAACTCTCTACCAAAGGTGCTATGGCAAAATTGATCAGGATTCAGTCGTCTTGAATAGAATGAGAGAAGTTGCCACTCACTGTGTTCTTGTTGTTGTAGAACTGCCCCGATGACATCTATCGAAGCGTCCGTCATGAGAGGAGGAGGAGCAGCGTTTTCGCGTCTGACAAGTGGTGTCTCCTCATTTAACAAGTGCTCAACAGTTTCGATTGACTCAAAGGATTCAGCTGACAAATGAACTGAAAGGCCATGTCCACGTAAACAATCAGCTGATGGTTGCGAATCTGGAGCTAGGATTGGGATGAGACAACTGTAACAATTGATGAGACCCAAAACGTGTCATAATTTTTAGGAGAAGTTGGGTACTGCGTAATACCTAATAGCTTGTACATCATCATCAAGAACTGGCCTAATCACTTGGTCATCAATGAAATGCCTGAGGAATTTCAATGAGGTCTTACCGAATTCAATTTTGTCTGAGTTGATCGACATACCAAACTGGTAGAGTACATCGAATACAGTCTCCATATGTTTTAAATGTTGTGCCTCACTTGCACTCGCAATGAGTAAGTCGTCGGTGTATGTTCGTTAAATTTCTAGCCGTTCCCAAGCCTGAAAAAAAAGGGAGGGTTGAGTGTGGGGCTGGCCACCCAACCCAAGAAAATCAATCAAACTGCTACTGAAACTTCAAAGAAGAAGGAGTATATTTTCCTCTGGATACGGAGAAACGGAATGATATTTTCCACTAAAAAAAGAATGGGGCGGTGAAAGGGTCGTACAATGTACGAGGATGGAAAGGCTTCCCAGGTAGCAAAGAAATGAGAAAACGTGGCACGGAGGGGGTGAACAAATGCGAAAGCGAGTGAAAAGCATGTGGATGCGCAAAATTCCCTGCTACCAATACGACGATTCACCTACACAGTCGCACGTTTTACTCTTCTATCACTAGAGAAGGCTGTTTTCATAGAGGAGACAGAAATTCTCACCCGCATATTACATATTGAAGAAGAATGTGCAATGTACTTTTTAACATGTGAGGACAAGCGTAAATATCATATCAGAAGATATTTCTCACCACAGCATTGGCAAAACCACAAGATGACCTACTTCAGAAAAAGTGCAAATTGCTCATAACAAAACTTGGTGTTTGTTTTGTAACTGCAATCACTGTGCCCCCCTTCCACAAATTCTATATATAAGTGAGTTGAGATGCATGCTACTTTATCGTGACAAATTGTGTAAATAGCTGTATTGGTCATCCGAGATGCCGAATCATCAGGTATGTGACGACATGATTAATAAGACTGAGTGTTCCAGGTGAACTATGTTACAGTGTGCTTCCACTTGCTCTTCTCACTCCTACTTCTCTTAGCGACATATTCTATCGAGGTTCTCAGCACTCCACACAGCAATGGTAAGTGTCAGACAACTGACAACTGATGATGTACTTGGTCATCGGATGACACACTGCAGAAAACTCACTCTCCTTCTTCTTTTTCCTCTTGTTTTACAGTGGAACGTCGAGGGGATCCATTCTTGAGATTTGGATGAAGTTGTTCTTCCTGACAATGTCAATATCCCGACATGCTGGAAAGGCCAAATATCACTTTTACTCGCTTATACTCTACACTAGTATATATGCATGCTTCAGTTTACCCACTGTCTATATTGAGAATAATAAAGTATTCTGCAAAACTGTGTTGTCTCTTTCGTCCAGTTTGATTAACTGCCTGATTTATTAGTTCGCTGGTTGTCCCTGTGATGATTATCAGTGGTCGGAATGCATCCACTCTCGTCATGCACAAATACCTGTTGTTTCGCCCACAGCCTAGCTCTCACTAATCGTCTTAATCATGCAAATCTAATCGCTTTCAGTGAGTCGTGAAACATTTAAGATTATTCGTCTGTCGTTGACACAGTGCACGCCAACACCAACGCACTACACCGTCACAAACACAAAATATGTGGTGTAACATTTTCATCATGAATGAGAGCGCGTGACGCATCAGTTCTAATGGCATGCTTGCGCTTCCGTTGTGTATTTTACATGGCTTCATATCAGTGTGCTGTATACACAACGAAGAATTCGATGTGAATGAGAAGCATTATCAAGATTTGATGGGTGACTGACTGCTTTATTTTTGTCTGTCAACCAAATGAATCAACGGTTTCCTTTTGCTATTCAAGCATTTTTGGGATCCTTTCTTGTGAATATGATATACTAAGCAACAAACATTTTGCATTTCCTTCGGTTTAGTCTGATTAATACGACACACTTCGATGCCGGTTGTGACTTCGTAGAAATTCTGTCTAAAGCGAATTAGGCACACCAAGGACTTATAATCAGTTTTGTTGATCGGCGTGCGTCTTTACCACACAACCCTGACTTCCACTAGATTTTTAACACTGATTTTTGTCATACTTGAGATTCATATCATGCGCTTACCTACAATCAGCACACACACATACTATACGAAAAGCATGCAAACAGTAGAAATTCGGAAGAATTCATGCAATATGAAAATATGGAATATTGTGAATTCTTGATGGAGAGCGATACATCGTGCATGAGTCGGTTATTCCAGAGCAGCTTAGTCAAAACATAGTCTGGACAATATTTGAACAAGCGTTAATCAAGATAGGAGTGCGTCGGAATAACATCTCGTCTCTAAATCAACAATTGAGAATACAACCATAGTACTGTGAAGATATCTGCACATCACAAATACAGACAACATATCTTGTATTTCCAATTAAGCACTTGATAAATTTATCATCATAAAATAGCATGCACTGTAAGTTATTCTCTGTAAAGAACATATTTTTTTATTGGAGAACACTTGATGGACGACACTGTTGTAATAGACTTCTATTACTTATACAATCGATTATTGCTGAAAATTACTGCTGGCTGTATGACATTAAATCGTGTTTCTACGATATCAGTAGATCAATTTTGACTGCGTCCTCAATTAGAGTACAGAACGCAAGTAGTTGTACCGATCATTTAGCCTTTGTTTCGTTGTTTCCATACGTGTCTTCATACCATTATTGGGCTTTAGTATGTCGAGGTAGTCAGCATACTTCATACGTAGCACGAAAATAGGAAAACACATTGTTTGTGAGGTTTCAGGTATAACGTGTCGGTGTATTGAGTATATCAACGAACAAACGCCAAGTATTCAATGAGAACTCACACAGCAAATCAATTTAACACAGTCTACATGGTCGACACAGCATTCTGCCTTCTGTAATATAATTCAACAATCCTCCGTGACTGGCAAACAGTCAAAATTGACATACCAGCATTGTCGAAACACGATTCAGTATTATGAAGCCCAACTTAAGATTAACGATTAACGAGTTATATCGAACATTCAAATTTATTTCAACAATACGGTCAGTCAGATATT